GGGGAGGAGGAGGAGGAGTGAAGAAGTCGTGGAAGAAGAAAAGCAGAAGAGGTATAAAAGGAAGAAGAAGAAGAAGAAGAAGAAGAAGAAGAAGAAGAAGAAGAAGAAGAGAGGGGAGGAGGAGGAGGAGAGAAGAATAAGCAGAAAAATGAGCGGAGGAGGAGGAGGAGGGAAGAAGAAGAAGAAGAAGAAGAAGAAGAAGAAGAACAGACCGGCACTCCACGTCAACGAGCGGCAGGGGTTGTCGGCAGGCAGGACCACCGCGATCAACGACGCTGGCGACGGGCGACTCGACGACGACGGGTGAGTGAAGCTCCCAGGCGATGGCAACGAGGGGCAGCTACTTCGACGACGGGCAACTCGACGATGAACGCAGGCGGCTGGAGCAGGTATCGAGGGCCCATTTGGCCAGCCAATGCAGGCCGCCCCAGCCAGTCGCTTGTTCAAACGGGGCCTCCATTTTCCCTCCAAAAACGAACGGCCCTCTGGCCGTCCCAAATTCAAAAAAAAAAAAAACAGGCCTCACGGGCCCGACGCGCCGTTTTCTCGGCATGGTCGGACCCGGTAGGCCCTGGGGAGGCGAAATCTCGCCGATTCGGGGTCGGAAATTCCCCGCCAACACGGTGTGCTGGGGGGGCCCAGCCCCCGACCGGGCCGCCCGCCCGGCCAGGCCGCCCGGGACCTCCCCCGGGCAGGCGCCAGTCGGCCGGGCGGCCTGGATCCGTACACAGGAAGTAATGTTTTTTCAGAATAATTTGTGTTATTCGTTTCTTTCTGGACTACTTGCTTCGGAAATCGCGAATTATTAATCATTTCTCAAGTCCGAAATATTTTTTGGGAATATTTTTTTGCGTTGACTTGTTTTTTTTCGCGCAATTTAGAAGTGTGAGGCCAAGGCCCCAATGAGCCGCTTTTTGGGCCTGTTATGCAGCACGTCGGCCGCCCTAAGTGAAGGCAGGCTCGACGAGGGCCTGAGGGCCCCTATTTCGGTCACCACACAACTGTGGAAAATTCAGGCAGTTGCGCAGCACCAGTTGTTTGAAGAGCACCCAGGCCCAGGCCGCCTGTTTGCATGTATGGAAGGCAGGCCCTGGGCTGGATACGGGATATGGGCCAAACACAGGCTGAGGACAGTTGGGCACAAGTAACCACCACGGGCCCTGGGCCTGAATCGTTTGGACTGGGCCTCAGCCTACCGGGGCCTACCGGAAGCTTCTTGAGTCAGGCCCAGCGCAGCAGCAGTCAGGCCACTTCCATATAGCAAAGGGCCTGTCTCCACATTGAACATTCAGGTGCTGGCTGCATGCTGCGCAAGCGCTGCTGCGCTGAAGCTGGCTAGCGCTCACGCGCTCACGGGCGAGCTGGAAGGAGCAGGCAGCCATAGCCGAGCTGCGCTGATGTGAGCTGGGTGTGGCGCAGGGTGGTCCTTGGGTGCATGTGGCATCTGTGCGTTGGGGAACGAGGTTGTGAGTGAAGCAAGAGACATACCTGGTGCTGGAAGCGTGCGGCATTGGCCGCTATCTGCTCGTACTTCGGTGAGGCTGTTGACGTCATCCGGCGGCATTGTAGAGTAGGCTAGATAGGATCTGCCATCTGTAGTCTGGGCGCCAAGCGCCAGATAGGATATCGACATTGGTTCTTCGTTGATAATGATGATGAGACTATTCCAGCATTGTCAATTATGAGCTCTTGGTGTGTTCTTATTTGGTGAAACTCGTGATGCAATTCTGTTGTTGGTTCGAGGTCACGACTATCTGGTCTTGTGTATGATGGTGTTTGATTTCTGAAGTTCGTTATCGCTCATCTTCCTTGCAATTTGGTATCAGAGCTGTGGTACGTTGCGCTCATCTGGCGCTTGTCTTCTGCCTATGCGGTACATACATGCGGTCTACTTGGTGAGTGAGGCCGTAGGCGGTGTGTAGTGAGGAGGGCGGAGACAAGGTGTGGCGACCCGGGAGGAGAGGGGAATCGCCAGGAAGGCTACGGTGTGTATATTGGGTGTTCGCAGTGTGATGAGAACTATCTGGTGGTTGATTGATGCTGAGGTGGAACGACGAGAAAATGCTGGTTGTGCCGATGCAGTGACTGGTCATCGCAATCGCCATCAGGTCATCTGGTGAAAAAACTGTGGTTGGGGGCAGCTCTATCGAGGTATGTTGCTCTTAACCTTATCTACCCTCTTCATCACTTCTTACCGTGAGGTTGTGAGTTCCTTCTTGAGAGTCCTCTCATGTCAGGTGTCGTGTGCGCTCAACCTTGAGAGTCGGCATTGTTCACGTGGAGCATTCGGAAGGAGAGGGCGGTGCTTTCTGAAGGGCCCTGGACGGAGCACTGGGTCATGGTCACCATGCCAACCCACCGGGAGTAGAGCACGCATGCTTTGCTGCTTTGTCCTTGTTTGCTTGCTGCACTCATAGAAGGGGTACTGAAGGGCAGGCCAGCCCTATGGGAGAGACGAGTACCGGGCGTCTATAAATAAACACCGGTTGGGGAAACCATTGGCTGTGATCGTCGTCCTGCTGCGACATAAAATAATTCCTGATGACACTTGGGGGCGGTCGTTAAATTGCCTCTCGATCAGCCAATTGGTGTAAGGCTCGCTGCACGTGAGGATAAACACAGTGCAGGGCTGGCCAGCTCAGCAGCTACTCGGGGCACAGGGGTGGGCCGTGTGCACACCTTTAGTCACGCACGCCAAACCGGATTGCCCAGGGACACTGACGTCAAGTGACAATGAAGGGGAATTGGGGAAGGGGTAGATTCCATGTGACGCACGTGCGGAGGGCACGTGCGGAGGTGGTGAGAGAGAGAGAGAGCGAGGAGATGGACACACACCAGAAGCGGCAGCTGAGTGAAGGTCCAGTCCGGCTCCAAGAATGAAAGAACAACTGAATGAATGAACCAACTCACTACGGACCTGGGCCTAGGCCGAAGTGATATACCGGCCTAGGTCCAGGTACACGAAACAACCTGGTACCGGACCAGGGTCAGGCCGACGACCTGAAACTGGTCCGGTCTCACTGTCGGGCCGTAGGGGTACTGCTACACGATCCTCGAACCTGTGAATGGATCAAGCGATACATCAAACACGCTATCCGCTGAAATAGCGGAAACCCAAAAGGAACGGCAAAGAAAACAATCCTAGATGCGGAGCAGGCTCCATGCAGGAGAGAGATGCAATGCAGACTAAGCCTCAAGCCTAATCTATGCAACAATGTCCGGTCTGAGTCGACCCAAAAAGCATAAAAATGTTTGACCTGTGTCGGCCAAGAAAGAGAAAAATGTCTGACCTGTGTCGGCCAACAAAAGAGAAAAATGCCTCCTGAGCCAAAGAGGCTGAATATAAATCAACACCAGGGCCCTAAAGGCCAAAGAATAACTAAACCAATGTCCTAAGTCGAAAAAGAATGTGGCACTGTCTCATGTGCCCTGTACACAGTGCACAATACCTGAACAAAAGAGAAGGGAACTCAATCGCATGGCAGAGGTAGGGATGGGTGGGAAGGCGGCAGGTACAGCTCTCAGAGTAAACTCCAAGGGGGCACCCACACAACCAGGTAAGGGTCATCAGGCTCAAAGGGAGAGTAACAGCACGACACCGGGCTCAATGGAAACCATCAAACGGGTACCGCCAACTGAAAGGGGGAAGGCACTCACACAAGGGAGCACACATAAGGTGAGCCAAGAAGGAGAGAGGGCTATGCCGGCATAGACATGTGGCCAAAAGCCGCAAGCAAAGAAAACGTACACTCCAGAGGAGGGCGCGCAGCATACGGTAAGGCAGAAGGGCGGCAGACGGACACACCCACATGGGCAGGGAAAATAGGGGTCATCATGTGACTGAAGGGTAAGCTCGAGGCTGGTGGATAGGTGGGAATGATGGGAACTCTGTAGCCGAAAAAGTGAAGTAGTCCAACTGATGAGTCTCCAGACTGAAGTCGAACCGAAGTAGCCTGGATAAAGTAGGAGTACCGCAAGAACCGAGTAGAAGTCCGGAACAATGCGACAGGTACTCTGGTGCTGAGGAGAATCATTGAGGTTGAAAGTCGAATGTAGAAGCCGAATGTAGAAGCCGGATGTAGAAGCTGAAACCAGGAGTTGCTGCATAAGTGTCCAGGAATGGTAAAACATAGAGAGCGTATGGGGGGTATTGGTCAGTCACGATAACGAGAAGGAAGTCGATGGGTATGCTGAGGGCGAGAGGAATCAACTGAACAACAGGCGGAACCACATCCACAGAGGAAGGAGTACATGAGGCGGGTACCGGTGGAGCAGAAGGACCCATCGATGGAGGAGGGGGAATGTTAGTGGGCGCGGAGGTAGATGGGTCAGTAGTAGAAGGACAAGAAGTAGGGGGGGAGGATGATGAAGGGAAAGGATGAGCACGATCGTAAGCACGCACGAAAGTCATAGCATGCTTCAGGTGCTCAAGAGGCTCCCAAGTAGACTCCTCGTCAGGGTAACCCTTCCATCGAACGAGATACTCGAGGCGGGGAGGGTCACCATCAGTCATACACCGGGACGCGATATCAAAGATGACAAACTCCTCGTGACCCTCAATGATGATGGGAGAGGGGCGAGGGTAAGGTCGACTATGGAACTCAGGAGGAGACCGTCTGAAGGGGCGCAAAAGAGATACATGGAACACGTCATGTAAGTTAGCGCGATACATGGAACCGGGGAGCTTCAATTTGAAGCTCACCGGATAGTCATGGTTGGGTCCGGCGGGTGCAAGAATGGTGCATGGTCCAATATATCGACGTCTGAATTTCCGAAGCGTGTCAGCTTCGGGCTGGAAGTGACGTGCGTCGACAAGAACCTTGTCGCCAACTTTGAAGGGATGGTCGATGTGAGAGCGGTTAGCACGAGTGGCCATGCAAGCCTGGGAGTCAGCAATGCTCTCACGAGCCTTACTAAGAAGCGCATCCATCTCCTTTACCCAGTCATCGAGGGCAGGGCATTTGGTGTCGGGATGGATCTGAGATGGGCGGAGAAGGTCAGATGGGACACGAGGATGGTATCCCAAGTCACAGTAGTAGGGAGACATGCCAGTGGCAGGTGAAATAGCATGGTTATAAGCAATCTCTGCGTGAGCAAGATGCAGATCCCAATCAGAGTCATTCTCAACAAACTTCTTGAGGATACTCCCAAGAGTTTTGTTGGTGACCTCAGTTTGTCCATCTGACTGGGGGTGATAGGAGGAGGAGAGGCGGAGCTC